AAGGGAAATAATATAGATTTTTCGAAGCTAAAAATATAATTTTATATCTCCGGGCACGAGCACGTCAAACTTTGCGATCAGTGTCCCGAAAATACTCGGTCTGAACATTTGCCGGGTGTTCCTGATCTTCTCATCGCTGTCATCATCTCATCAACCGCCGTCACATACCATCATCGTCACGAACTGACTCACTCTCGTTCAGGAAAATCACTACCACTATTAACAACATTACAACTGCAACTGACATCTCTGGTGATATTGGAACTGATACTAGATCCTACTGAATAAGTCCATGCGCTCTGCTGATGCTTTTTTCGAATCAATTGACTGCATTTTACAAAAAATCCACAAGAGTCAAAATATAATAATTTAACTGCGATCACAATTCCTTCAAAAGCCTCCTGAGATAAAAAGAAATGGACTCATCGTCACAATCACGGGCAGCAACAACAACTTTTGTTGCAGCGGCAGCAGCTGCTGCTGCAATGGTCACAATGGCTGGAACCGTTTGGTTAATGACGCCCGCCAACTTTGACGAGGACATTTCGGAAGAATTGTTGGATGTCAATGGGAGACGGAAACCCAAAAGCAGCTTACTCAACGGTACCAAATCACCGAGACGTCGACGGAGGCCGCGGAACCACAGACGAGTACGTTGGCAGGATCAGGCGGTATCTTCGCCACCTGCGTCTCTGCCTTCTACCGGCAATACCTCTACATCTACATCTACATCTACATCATCGTCATCGTCATCATCGTCCCTACTGCTGAAACAGGATTCATCACAAGCACTACTGTCCGCGTCTGAACCAACGCCAGAGTCAACATCAGAGTCAGATCCATTAACATCACCATCGGATTCAAAGGAGAATCAATCAAGTCTGGCACAGTATAGTGAAGGCAATAATAATGGCAATACCATTGGCAGTTATTCTGAATCACCCAGCAACAAGTCATCCACGTCGTCATCCACATCATTTTGGTCGTCACCATCATCACCATTGGCAAGACTGTCCAAGATGCAAGAATCGGCAGCAAAAGCAATTGTCAACTCGGTTACTGGGTCAGAACAAAAGCGACAAAATGATGATGATGATGATGATGATAAGAAGATGAACCAAAATCGAATCATGAGGAATGGCGACTCACGAACAAATAATGGTTCATCATCAAATGCAGGCTCGATCAAGGGCCACAAGAATCGTAGCAGCAGCAACAGCAGCAATGGTTCAGAAACTCCGTACATGCGATTCATTCAGTATCTAAAACCATTACGAAAGGATGCCTGGGAGGAACCCGACGTGGAATCCTTCATGGTAAGGGGACCCACTTACACGAAGAACAGCAAGAAGATCAATTCGGACAAGCCTGCTTTTTCCCTGTTGACGGTAGACTTGATTCAGCACATTGGTCAAGAACCGTACTACCAACCCATTTGTGGTCATCCTAGAGAAAGAGTCCAACAAGCTATTAAGCGAGAAGAAGAGTTCGGGAGTGCCGACAAGGAATTGCCGCCCTTTGTCTTTGCGGTCAATCTATGTTTGCCCTCCTCCACGGTTTCGACCAACAAGAATAATGGTACCGCCAGTACTACCAATCTGTACCATCATCAAGTTTCCTACTTTGCCGTTGAAAACATGGACGAAATTGAAAATGAGACGACTCCCTTTGGAAAACTCATGAAGAAATTCATTTTTGGAGATGACGATTCCTTTCGTGACAAGACCTTCAAGTTGATTCCACGAATAGTCAAGGGCAATATAATTGTAAAGAGGGCTGTGGGAAGTAAACCGGCCATTATCGGGAAGAAAGTCAACCAACATTACTTTCGGGGAGATCGTTATTTTGAAATCTTGGTGGATATTGGCAGCGACTCCATTGCTGACCGGATCGTCCGACTTGCCTTGGGATATGCCAAGTCGTTGGTGACGGATATTTGCTTTGTACTGGAGGGAAATGATATAGACACTCTTCCAGAACGAATCTTTGGAGGAGTCACTTTGAAGTATATTGACTTTAAATCCAAGGACGGAAATCGACGAATGTTGCCACTGGATTACACGCCGTAGTCATGGGCAATACCTAGTGCGTGTACATATTGCATTTTCAGAAGCTATTATGGAGATACCGAGACCGAACGCCGCTATATACTATTCAAAAGCTTTTGGATGATGGATGGCTACGCTATATTATATATATATATATATATATATCATATATCATATATCATATATATATATATCCATTCTCTTTGAGCTTTCATGGACGACTGCACTGATCATTGAAGGAATGAAGGAATGAGAATCAATCTATATAATGATTTATTCAGCGTCCAGCCAATATGTCAAGATTGGGCTTTGGTGTGTTTGGCACATACATTATTTCAGTGCCCCCCGGCCAATCTTTTCAAATCCACTCGTTTGACAACTGTCGTTACATCTTTTCTTTCGTTATGAATGTAATGGCGTTGACCGACGCAGCTACAGCACGAAGGATGGATCCATATGACACTATATAACACTATTGTAATACTGTATATAAATAATAAACTGATCTGTTCGACTGTATAGGTAGCTAATGAATTGCATCACGACTAATACGACGAAAGCAAAGACACAGTGACATTGAACAATATATTATGGACATTGTATTCTACAAGAATATGTTTGTAATCTTACTATTGAACTTATTTTGACGTTTGATGTTGGACAATGCCATTAGCCATGCATTCCCATGCCACATCCATGTCGCATCATATTATATATAATGCCAATACGAACTTTCATGGATGTAGAGGATATAGTGGGTGGATTTTTAGCTCCACTTCTTTCGTCGTTTCTCGGCTCGTTTCTCTCTCCGAGTACCACCTTGTTCATATTCATCAGTCATCGATTCCCCTGCATTATTGTTTGTAGTAGTGTTGGTGTTGCTAGTATTAGTATTTGTATTTGTTCCACCACCAACACCCCCCTTGACGGCCGAATACAAGGAGTAAAGTGTCGCGACTGGAAAGATAAAGAGCAACCAAAACCATCGTTTCGAATGAAGCACAGATCCGAATTGAACAATGAGACTCAGGGCCAACCAATCCAAGTGTTGTCCTCCCGTCAATTCTTTGCGCTTCGTCGATGAGCTTGTGGTAGTAGCCGCTTGATCCAAAATCCCAACATAGGCATAGATTTGCAACGCATAGGTGGCGATTATGCAAAGTCCTTCCAGAATCCCATCTATTATCATGGTGCTTCGTCTCAAGATGATGAGTAAAACTAGATACATCAAGTTGGTGACCAGCAAGAATGGCTTGTAGAATTTATCGGTGGCTGCTTTGGCTGAAAGAAACGTATAGTATAGAGTTTTGGGACGATGGCAACGTTTTGAAGAGAAACGGAAACCAAATTATGGTAAGTGAGACGTTCATTCAATTCCCACCGCGTTATATATATAGATATAGATATATATATATTATATTATATTATATTGCATTGGGTGCTCTTACTGTATTTTATAGGGCGTTGCAAATCATGGAAACTTACCAGCAGCAGCCTTTTTAGCAGCAGCATTGGCCATGGTAACAATTTAAAAACGCACTATATACAGAAGTATGAATAATATGCGTTATTAATACTGACAGCAAGATAATAATAATAGGTATTATATATACTTGTACTCTTTTGTATATCTCGGTATTGTTTGAGATAATTATTTTTGATGCTTTGTAATGAAATTCGAACGATGAGCCGACTGCTTTGAAAATTTGGAAAATTGATGGTGAAAGGTGGGGAGGACGGACCATTTTGAAGATTTTGATGAGCTCTCATTGGCTGTTTGCCTTCAATGGGACAGCATTCGGACTTATTGAACAGTCATTTCGAGCAGGCCTCTGTTGACAGTTGCAGGTTGCAGCCCCTGTGGCACTTTCGTATTGTTGCGGTGTCTCCAAATCGCACAAACGGACGTCAAAAGTATAACATTGCAACAATGGCCGACGCAGATGGAAATGGGGTCGCCGATCCAGTGGACACGATTCTAGAGAAGCTGTTGAGGTGAGCGTCGATTAGGCTTTGCAGTCATGTAGTTTCATTCATTCCGTGGAAGAGAAGAGACTAGAAGAATGTCTAGATTGAGGCCTATCCATTGGATCGTATTGTATTGTATTGTATTGTATTGTATTGTATTGAATTGTATTGAATTGTATTGAATTGTATTGAATTGTATTGAATTGTATTGAATTGTATTCAATCGTAGCGATCAATGCCAGCATTATCAGGATTGGCTTTCCATCAGATGCTTAGGGTTGATCATGCCGATTCGATTGTCTTTTTGTGTATTCATTTCATTGCACACAACACAATAAATATGCCAAGTGGCCTTTCCTTCTATTCTATTCTTGTGGTTTGTTTTGTGTTTTGTTCACAAAACGCCGTCTCTCACGAAACTCGTTTCACTCTTTTTTTTCTTCCTTGCAGCGTTCGCGGCCAAAGACCCGGAAAGCTTGTCAATCTGACAGAGCCAGAGCTCAAGATGCTCTGTCTTCGTAGTCGCGATGTCTTGATGAACCAACCCATGATGTTGGAACTCACAGCTCCGATTAAGATTGTGGGTGATGTTCACGGGCAATACTACGACTTGCTTCGTCTCTTTGAGTATGGAGGATTCCCCCCCAATGAAAACTATCTCTTCCTTGGCGATTACGTCGATCGTGGAAAGCAATCCATTGAATGTTCTGCTCTTGTTCTTGCGTACAAGATCAAGTACCCCGAGAACTTTTTCTGCATTCGAGGAAACCACGAGTGTGCTGCCATTAACCGTATCTACGGCTTCTATGACGAGTGCAAGAGACGATACTCCATCAAACTCTGGAAGACTTTCACTGATGTTTTCAACTGTTTGCCCGTTGCTGCTATTGTTGATGATAAGATTCTATGCGTCCATGGGGGACTTTCTCCTGAACTTACTCAGCTTCAGCAAATCAATCGCATTGTCCGTCCAACTGACGTGCCAGATACCGGTCTATTGTGTGACCTTATCTGGTCCGATCCAGACAAGGAGATCGATGGATGGGGTGAGAATGACCGTGGTGTCTCATTTACCTACGGTGAAGACATTGTCTCCAACTTTTTGGCTAAGAATGATCTGGACCTCATTGTCCGGGCGCACCAAGTCGTCGAAGATGGATACGAATTTTTCGCTCGCCGACAACTCGTCACTATTTTCTCTGCTCCCAACTACTGCGGGGAATTCGATAACGCCGGGGCCATGATGTCAATAGACGAATCCCTACTATGCTCCTTTCAGATTTTGAAACCTGCCGAGAAAAGACAGAACCTTCGTCCATCCTAACCTTAACCCCAGCCAATGCAATTCGTTGTAAAAAGGAAAGCAATAATAACCCAAACCTCACCAGGACTGCTAGTTTCCTGTGTCGCCCCAAAAAAAAGCAAATCAAATCAAACAAACCATACCAAACACAATACGCAAACAAAGAGTGTGATCACTACATGCAGTTTAGAATCTTTGTATTACATGACACTTGTTAATGAAACAAAAGAAACTTCATTCTATTGTATATGATGTATTATACATTACCAACTAATAGTAGAAGTTCGAATTCTGGATGATAACCAGCTCTCCTTGGGGGAGGGGAAATCGGTATACTCCGTCTTCAAGGCAAAATATCATACCTGGTAGGGAGCATGGCGGGCAGTACATAGGTATCGGGTGCTGCCCGATATATTATCTGAATAAAGGATAAAAAAACTACCCGCGCATGCACCAGGATCGACATTTGACATGCATTTAAAAAATAGCACATTGCAAACAAACAATTAACGTAGAACCATTAAGGGCGATGTGATTATATACCGTTGGTTAGGTCAGCAGCATAACAGAATGGACTTGGATTGCTTTCTTCCTAGCAGCAGCTCTACCTTTTGGGCAACCAGATGCATATGCATGGATCCCATGTGTAGACTCGCGCAGCAAAGGTTCAAGAAGGTGAACGATGCTAGGGGTGGGGTTTTTACTGTTCCTGCTGCTACTCAAAGTAGCTACGATCCCAAAGAAGTTGCAGTTGCATCAACAATAAATGCTGGATCCGCAGAATCAAAAATGGTGATGACGACAGGGGAAAAGAAAAGGAGGATGGTAAAATTGCTGAGGATGGGTGATGGCAATGGCATTCCGCAGCAACGATGTTTTGTTGCGATGCTTCATTTTTTGCCATACGTTCTCAGGAAGAAATGCCTGAGAAAGAGAGGCACAGAGCATGTCTACTGCTGGTTGTTACCAAAAAGAAACAGCGATGATGGGGAATGTGCTAGAAACCAAAAATGCTGTGAGCCAAAGGCCCGTGTACACAAGAGCGTCAAGGAAAAGCACAGAGGAGATGGTGAAGCCGTTTCTTGGTAATCGGACAAAATTGACCCGTGTAGAACGGAAAAGGATCGGAGATTATGCACTGTTTGTTAAAAACCAGATGAAGAAAGGAAAGAAGCTTCCTCTGGAAAAGGAATCGCGGTTGTGTTGGGATATGACGAAATATGAGTTTTTACGTTCCAAACGAAACTATTCAAGTACGAGGTTTTCGACACGTGCGATCAGAATTTGATCGTGCAAGATGTCGGGATTCGACGCAAGTATGCCGGACGCAAGTCTGTCGGACAATCTGTATCCACACAAACAGGAAAAGATCCTGTACAAGTGGAATATCGATGTTGTGTACGATGC